GTCGTGACAAGAAGAAAGAGTTAACCCTTTTTGTCCAGTGATGTGCTAGAGCCAGCTCACACTGATTCAAAAGAGCCAGATGTTAAATTTTCTGGAAATTTGTGAACTGGTTGACAACACAGGTGAGTCTCAATGCTTAGCATGCCAATCATTTAAAGTTTGGCATGACAATGGCAATGCAATTGGCAGAACTGGTTATTAAACATTTAGCAACACAGCACTGCTCCTATCCTATTTTAAGGACACAGCCCTTGCAGGAAAGTTGATTTATCTTTATTTGGGGTGAAAATTAATACCTACTGTAAACTCCCAGCACTAATACTCTCTCTAGTAAAGCATATTGTATAAAATGAGCCAAAATGTTAAGATCAAATGAATTCTGGCAAGACTTGTGTTGTTGTATTTTAGTGGGTCTAGGACGCAAATAAGGCAACTGTACATTATGTTTTCTGTCCCTTTCTTATAGATTTGTGTGAGTAGAATTTTACAATAGTTGTTCTTTCTCCTAATCTTTTGCCTGAAGATACTTTATGACTGAAAGAAATCCAATTCCTTCCAGATGCTATTACTTCAGTTTTCCACCTATAAAATATGTTTTTGAGAATCATCTCATCATTCATGAGTTTTTATCCAGTGTCTCCTTATACTTGATGACAAGTACAGATGCTGGAAAGACATCATTTTATTAATAATTAATTACTCATTCTTGGGTCTGGGTGCAATGATTTGGTCCCAAGCCAGTGTTTTTTCACAAAGCCAAGGTCTATGAAGCATTTCTTTTTATTAAGGACTGTCTCATTCCAAAAGTGGCTGCTGTGCACAGGAAATAACAAAAATAGTTATTTCTTCTAAAGTTGTTTCAGTTTTTCTCACTATTATATTTTAACTGTTTTCCAATGGAGAGCAGGCAACAAGGAGATACAGAATCATTTCTTGCATCTCTAAATTATATGAGTAATGTTTTCATTACAAAATAAAATCAGCTCCCTCTGATCTTGCTACAGTGGGGTGTTTTTCCATCAACCAGTTTCTTTGTTCTTGATGTAGTGTGAATCTTTTCTGGAAAATAATCTTCTTTTACTTCTTGACTCTAATTCCCTTATTCTGTTACTTCAAACTCCAGGATCCATCATCCCCCTCTCTGCTAGTTATTGGTCCTATTGCATTAAATCTCCACTTGAATAATACTTAAGGATATTAATCTGAGCCTTACTTGCATTCTCCTAATTTAATCTTCCAGCCATTTTGAATATTGAGGAAATCACTGCATTTCCCCCCCCCCCATCTTTTAGTGGCACTGTGGGTTTCTTGTCACAGCACAGTAGAGGTGCACATCATCTGGTAAATCCCAGCAGTAGAAATTGTGTAGGTCTCCCAGGGTCATGCTGTAAACTAGAGCTTTAAACTCAGCTGGACTCCTCTGAGCTGAATATTTCATCATGGAGGAATCTAGGCTGCAGTTTATGTGATAGTGAAATTAATGAGAGGAGGAGAGATTTGTAGGTGGCATGTGTGAACAGCAGGAGCTGCATCCTCAGCTAAGCACGTCTCGTGATTTCCTCTTTGCTGTTCTTTGATTTTTCTCTTTCTCACTTAGTTCCTAGCTTGTAGAGTTGGAAGAAACTACATAAACCATTGAGTTGAACTGCCTGCTAGGTGCAGGAATTCACATTAAAGCATCCTTGACAGCTGATCTCCACTTGCACACATCTGCTAAAGGAGAGTCCACTATTTCTCTGAGTAATACTCTTGAGCTGTTCTCATTCTGTTACGAAGTTTTGTTCTAACATTCAATTAGAATATATTTTCCTCTAATCTGCTTCCATGTCTCCTGAAAGTCTAGCATATTATATTACTAGAGGTATTTGAAAATAGTATTATGTATCCTCTTTGTCTTCTCTTTTGAATGCTTGCAAGGATGAACTACCTTAGTTCTTTTGGTCAGTTCTGCTTTCTCCTATATGCTTTCTCTCACGATTTCATTTTCTTTTCTATTTTCATCCACTTATCCTACTGTGGGAAAGTGAGCCCTTTCATCTTCTTTCATCCCAGGGGGCAACCCTTCATCCTCATAAGCTTACTTCTTTGTTGTTTCTATAGGTTGTGGATTGTAGCAAAACTATCCATATATCAGATATACTATATTAGTAGTTATATTATCCTTCTGTTTTGTATTGGGACTAAGCACATCTTATGGTGCCTATTTCATTTTTATGGAAGAATAATCAACATTACTCCTAACTAGTATGTTTCTTTATTATGTGTAAACTGCCTGTAAGACCTGCTAGATATTTAGAAGAGAATAAACAAAGAAATAGTAGGTCTTTAAGGAATATGGGTTCCATTTTCTTCTGGATGAAAAGTCAGGCCTTAGATTTCTGGCTTACATTTTTGTGAATAGGTAAAGACTTTTTCACCACAAATAGGATCCTTTGGTTGTTTTGGAAAAGCAAAGCTTAACTTAGAGATCTCATTCTTTTGCATCAGAGCTTTACATTTCAGAATGATGTTAAAATGTACATTTGAATTTAAAACATTTTCTTCAAAGTCTACTCCTTGTTCCCAATATTCATTGGCTAAATATTCTTATTCATCACTTGTGAATATACCTTGCATTGATTACTGGTTTTAAGAGCAATATTGCATAAGAGAGTAGCAGCTACCTTTCCTTACTGAAACTCTACTTGAATCATGGTAGCCAATCTCTGATTCTTGAGTCTCCCAATTCAATAGTGCTTTTAGTCTGGTATAAGTCAGAATGCCAGCACCTCACTGGCAAGAGCTTTTTACATAATATGAATCATTATAACAACATGAACTTTGCGTCTTAAAACCACTTTGATATAATTTGCAAGCAGGATACAAATTGCCTTCTTTCTTATGACTATTAACCAAGACCGGGCAAAAGGCTTAATTTTAGCAAAAATGCAGAGTGATTCCTGTAATCTTCATATCCAAGAGCAAAATCACACAAAGATAAAGTGGGAGAGGGAAAGTGAAAGCTAGGTTTGATAGTTGAATTTTATAGCTGTTTGCCAGAGCTATGTAGAAAAACAGAGCAAAAGCATCAAGGAGATACAGCAACCAGAAAATGTATTTACATGTACCATTTTGGTTTGTATAGATTATTGAATAAATCACAATTAACTGGATATGTATAATACAGTATTGCTATCAGTCATGGTTTACAAATCATAGTAGCTGTATTAACACAACAGGCCCATAAGCTCAATGAATCAGCCTTAAATAAAATTATTATATGGCAAGGCAGGGCACGATGGCTCAGCGGTTAAGATGGTGGGCCTGTCAGCTGGAAGCTGACAGCCTGCCTTTGAGACCAAGCACCCTACAATGGGGTGAACTCCCGCTACCTGCCCTATCTCCAGCCCCTTTTGAAAGCATCCAAATGCAAGTAGATAAATGGGTACCAGCATTCCATGTGGCTTGGCATGTAGTCATGCCAGCCACATGACCATGGAAATTGTCTTTGGACAACATTGGCTCCCTTGGCTAAGAAACGGAGATGAGCACTACCCCCTAGAGTTGGACACAACTGGATAGGGGAAACCTTCACCTTTACCTTTGTACGGTAAGGCAAAAATCACTGAAGCAGTATCATCCACCCCCAAACTGGGGATAATAGGAATTAAAATGTTAGGCTAAAGATTTCCTGACTCCTGCGAGTCCCTTGGACTGCAAGGCATTCAAACCGGTCAGTCCTAGAAGAGATCAACCCTGACTGCTCTTTAGAAGGCCAGATCCTGAAGTTGAAACTCAAATACTTTGGCCACCTAATGAGAAGGAAGGACTCACTGGAGAAGGGCCTAATGTTGGGAAAGATTGAGGGCAATAGAAGAATGGGACGACAGAGAATGAGATGGCTGGATGGAGTCACTGAAGCAGTAGGTGTGAACTTAAATGGACTCCAGAAGATGGTAGAGGACAGGAAAACCTGGAGGAACGTTGTCCATGGGGTCGCGATGGGTCGGACACGACTTCGCAATTAACAACAACCCATCATGCAACAGATAAGTTGTCTTCAAGTTGGTGGATCATTCATTATTGCATACATAAGACCCCTTATGAATTAACTCAGGAATAGTTCCTACTTGCCTTCTTCATGCTTCTTGTCCATGGGGTCGCGATGGGTCGGACACGACTTCGCAACTAACAACAACAACAACAAAAAGATTTCCTAAACTAAAAATGAGAAAATGAGACCAAAATAGATGGGAATTTGGACTGCTGTATTGTTTCTTCTTCAATCTGGGAATAAATTTCTTAAGAGTAAAATAGAACGAGGAAGCTTATTATAAATTGTGAGGGAGATGGTAAGCTGCTTTAGAATTTAGGAGTTTGGTTTTACTTTGCAACCTGAGTTGTTGGAGAGCCACTCTCCAGTGGGGAGAAGGGGGAACAGGAGCAGCAGCAATGTAAGCAACGTAAAGCTAGTTTAGAATGAATTCCAGTTTGAATTTCAGAAAGGAGTCAATATGACTGAAAGGGAATCTTCTGGATATCAAATGCTTCTTCTGATACGTTCTCTACTTTCAGAGCTGTGTTGCTGCAATTGTTGCTGAACCAATCTTCTGCCTCAAGCTGTTCAACTGCTGTAATGCTTTGGCTAGAATAGTGCATCTGCCATGTTCAGCCCTGCTTGCTTAAGTGCTATATAATGCACATGCTGCTTTCCCTTAAAGGTAAAGAAAACTCAAAAAAATAAAAGGTTATCAAGGCTAAATATCCACCTTTTCCAATCTATGTTTATAGATTTCTGATCAAATTGACCTAATTTTTTTTAATTAAAAATTAAAATGCTTCTGCATCCATAACAACACATGTTGCTTAGAACTGAATAAAATATTTGTATCATGTAGTGCAGTGTTTCTCAACCTTGACCATTTTAAGGCCTGTGGACTTCAACTCCCAGAATTCCACAGCCAGCATTGCTGGCTGTGGAATTCTGGGAGTTGAAGTCCACAGGCCTTAAAATGGTCAAGGTTGAGAAATACTGATGTAGTGAAAATACGATTACTTCCTGTGATTTGAAAATTATACTATTGATCCAGTCTGAAATTATATTTGCCTTATTTACTGTGTCATTAGTTTCCTGGCTCATGTTGGTTTGCAATTACTATTCCAATATAATTTTCATTAGTCTATTACTAAGCCAATTTATCCTATATCTGTGTATTAGGGTTTAGTTCTATAAATAAAAAACTTAGGCATTTTTCCCTGTTATATTTCATTCCCTTACCTTTATCCATTTTTTCTTATCAAAATTATTTTGAATTTTATTCAACCCAACTTTGTGTCATCTACAATGACCCAGTTTTGTATCATTAAGCATATCTGATCATGTCTTCTTTAAAAAGTCATAAATATAAAATATGAAAATTTGAAATATTTTGTTTGGTGAAATCTGTTCCTGTTAAATCCATGCCAATTTTTTTTTTTTTTTGTAATCATCAGATTCTTTTCAAGTTACATACTTTGTAGCCTAACCATGATGTGCTTTAGGATCTTCCCTAGTGTCCTAGATTACTCCTTCCCCCTTTTACAAAAAGATTGGAACATCTACTTTCCTACAATCACTTGGCACTCTTCAGTTCTCTAGGATTTCTCAAAGATGATAAATAGAGGTTTCATCAGAGCATCAGTTGTTTCTTCAGGGTCCTAAGATGTAATTAATTTGGTCCTGAAAATTTAAATTCAATTGAACCAAAGAAACATTTCCTGATCATATTTCTTGTCCAAAGCTAATCACACCCTTTCACCCACTCTTCACAATTACCTTTTGGAACAAAATCTTTTTTGATGGAGGAGATTGAACCTAATTAAACATTGAATATTTTTTTCTTTACTACTTGTTAGTCTTGCTCTCTCCATTGAGCAACCAGCATACTGATTATGTTCTTTTCTTTTTATTTTGAACATATTATTTCAAACATATTTAAAGAATATGTTTTGTTATTTTACACTAATTTTGTTAATGTTAGCTTCTTTTGCTAATCTTAGCTTGTTCTGAGCTTTGTTTTTCTTAATGCCAATTCCACAATTCTGAGTTACCTGGCTGTTTCCTGACATTCTTTCCATTTCTGTAGGGTTCCTTTGGTGTTTTTAGATCCTAATTAAGCATTTTATAAGAGTTGCATTAGCTTCTTTTAGAGGCATGTTGGTAATTCAAATTCAAGGAACTTTCATCCCATCAAATCTGAACTATTGCTCCAATTGTTCAGTTCTTCAGAAGTGAAGAAGCTTCTTGGATGAGAAGTGAAAGGAAAAAAACCAAGAAAGTCCAGTTGCCTTTTGAAAAACACTTTTGGGACAAACAAGACCTGGAGTATTGAGAATCTTCATAGACATGTTGTTCCAATGGCTAAGTAATGGTGTATGTGCTGAATTGTATGGGTTTGTTTCTATCCAATAGATATCAGTTTCTCTCTACCATTAATATTGGCTCCAATGTAAGTGGTGCTGAATTTCATTGGAAGGCTAAGGTGTATAGTGTCTAGGGAAGCCAGGAAGAGTGTGTTCTCTTACTCCTTACTTATGAGGCAAGAAACCTCTGGCAAGCCCTGGTTACTTTGCGGAACTTGTGTTCTGTTTTGTAAGAATAGCCTAATAAGCCATTAAGCAGTCTTCTTCTCTTGCCAGGACTCAGGTCTTTTTTCCATCCTGAAAATGAAGGGAGATAATATATATGAGCTCTGCATCTTTTTTATAGTGTTGAAGAAACAAACATTATGATGGGATTCCTAATCTTTTTATTATGTTGCTACCTAAGCTTTTCTTGATTTTATAATTATGCCTGATAATTTAGTCCACTGCTGCTTTTAATACATTTAATTCATTCCATTACTTCATTGCTTGAAACATTTTATTATAAACTACCAATGATTCAAAAGTAGGGCAGGAATGCATAAAATATAAATTAATTAAAAACATGGCATGGTGATGAACGTGGGTTGCCACTAAAATCAGGGCTGGCTTATCATTAACAGTACTTAGCATGGTTAGTTGTATACTGACCAGCTTTTTGCTTCGTGTATGTTGATAAGTGTGACATTTTTCAGATAGATTGAGGTGTGAAATATGTAAGAAGCACTGAAAGAAATGGTATAAACAATGTGAGCTGCTATAGCTCCTAAAAGGCCTCTGAAAGAAATGCCTGGACAGGAAATTGAATCCTTGCCATAATGCTGTCATGACGCTTGAAGTTCCATTTCAGCAGAATTTATATCAAGAGGGGAGAGGGAAAATCGGAGCAAGCAATGGACATTTCTGCACTCTGCTTTCTTCATTGAGAGAGTGGAAGTGGAAAGGAGACAGCCGGCACTGGAGAGCTCAGGGATCTGTCAAGATTTCCTCTGGGAAAGAGACTTGTGTTGTGTGTCATCATTTGGAACTCACGGGTTTAGCCATATGTTTAGTTTAGCAGCGCTCCAAAGCAAAACAAATTTGAATCATTGGTCTCTCAGCAGCAACAATACTACTATTGTAAACTATAAAGAGAGAATCTGTTACAAAACCATGTTGATGGAACATACCATTGTCTACATTTTCCCTTCCAGCAAAATTTGGTTTTAGAGGTAGCCTGAATAGAATAGTACTTTCTCTAAAATTGTTGCTCAATAATCATTAATATTCTTCATAAATGTGTTCAGTTTGCACTCCCACCCAATCTGGTGCCATCCAGAAGTGTTGGTCTACAACAGCCATAATTTCCAGCTATTTGCAGTCCACTCTGTGTGGACTAGAACTATATGTATACATATTAATTAAATAAAAACATAGATACTCCTGTTGTCTTTTCCAGAAGAGAAAGGGCTGATTTAATCCTTTTAAAGAGAACGTATGTGGTTTTTATTTCTGGCCACTTACTTATTCCTCTGTGTCCAGATTTCCCACCAGTTAAAATACATCTAAAATGTGAGCTTAAGAATTTGCTTGCTGAATCCAAAGTTCTATCAAGTAGTTTGTTTCATTTTTAGTACGGACTAGTCAGATGGGCATTAAACAAGTCTTTCCTGTTACTGGTTTGTTTTCCAGTACCAGGCATAGTCCCTCTAAGGATGGAAGAACCTTCAGATATATCCATGGAGGTGTGTTTTATCAGTTGCCATTAATCACCATTTGCGTTATCATGATTAACAGCAACTGATAAAATACATCTTTATGGATTTGTCATATTTTTTGGCAACCTTCTTGTGTCATTTGTTTGTGCCAATTGGGTTTCAGGGCCTGTTTGTCCATGTAACAATATGACTCTGTTATCCAGTCTTTTAAAGACATTTTCTTAGACTGAAAAGCATTTCAGAAGGGAGGGAGAAAGCTGTTTGCTGCAAGATGGGTGTAGAATTCTGCTATATTGATTAAGCTCCTGGGACTGCTGCCAGTTGCCTCTAGGAGTAAATCAATACAGTTTGCAAAAGTAAAAGCTTCTCTTTGCTAGAGACATAAAATATTGGAAATTTTTAAATGATAAAACTTACAGGCAAGTGATGCTTCCTACTTACCTTGCCAGAGATGAGGGTTAATTGGGATTTGAGAATGTGGAACAGCTGCATCAGCAAACCAGTCATACTGTTAAATGCTCCCAAAATTAAATAGCCAAGTGGTAGGGCAATGGGCGTAAAAAGGGTCAAATTTCAGCCGGAAGAGCAGGCCAAGGTAGTACACAGGTGTTGCCTATTATATAGACAAGAAGATTTCTCAGGTAGCTCTACAGTTAAAAATGGATGAAATAAACTTGTATTAGAATCTATACAATGCAGTTTGCTAACTTCGATCTCTTCCTCCCAGTGTTCTGAATACTGTTGAATTGGCATTTGTTTCTGCACTTTCAGCATATTTTTGGAAATTGTTTTGTTCAACTTGATCTTAAGGGGCTTTAACCCTACTTTTATCAAAATAATGGTATTTCAGCATAACATTTACTGTGTTTCCCCGAAAGTTAGACCCAGGCCGATAGTAAGCCCTCGCTTGATTTTGGGGGGTGGGCCTAATATAAGCCCTGCTCCAAAACTAAGCCCTAGTTTTGGGGTGAGGTGCACCCCTAAAAATCAAGCTAGGGCAGGGGTAGGGGAGTGAAGCTACCCCACATGGCCTACACCCGCTTACCTTACCGGTAGGACCACTGCAGTCAGGCCTCCCACGCCCTGACAACTGTCGCGCTGCTCCTTGACTTCTGCGGCCGCTTGCCGCCGCTTGTGGTTGGACATCATGTGGTGCATTGCACCGTTGCCGCTCCTCCCGGCAGGACGCCGCATGGTGCTTTGGGCTGCTTCTGTGGCTCATGGCAGGAGGCCATGTGGCACTTTGGGCCCTTTCCGTTGTGGAAATGGCCCAAAGAGCCATACAGCGTCCTCCTGCGAGCAACAGAAGTGCTGCGCAAGCAGCGGAAGTGGCCCAAAGCACCATGCGGCATCCTGCCAGGAGAAGCGAAATGGCCCGCAGCACCCTGTGGCATCCTGGCGAGAGGAGCAGCAATGGTGCAGTCTGTCACATGGCATCCAGCCGCAGGTGGCGGCAAGGAGCTGCAGAAGAAGTCAAGCAGTGGAGTGACAGGGGTCGGGGCATGGGAGGCCTGGCTGCGGTGGTCCTAAGGTAAGACATTCTCTGAAATTAAGACCTAGTGCCTTTTTTGGAGGCAAAAAATATTATAAGACCGGGTCTTAATTTTGGGAAAACATGGTAGTAGTATTCAAGTTCCAAGCTACAGTAGTTTAGATGATACTTCCCTTACCATATATGAGGTTTTATGTATCAGGATGGAGATCAAGGTAAAATGTTACTAAGTAGAATAAGATTACACTGTCTAATATAACCATGAAGTCCTGGATGGAATTTCTGTATTATTTTTCTTGATTTTTTGTTGGAAAAAATAAAAAAAAATTGGTTCAGAGAGAGGGAAGAATGGAAATATCTTATAAAATTGAGGAACATTTGAATTTTGCTCTGATCTGCTTTTTCTGATGTGACAATGGAGTTTTTTGCTATGTTTTGCCGCTCAAGGGCTATTCCATATTTGTCACTATATATCTGAAGAATTCAGTGTCACACAGATAATAATAGTAATAATAATAGTAATAATAATAATAAAGTTGGAAGGGACCTTGGAGGTCATCTAGTTCAACCCCCTGCTCAGGCAGGTAACCCTATACCATGGCTGTCCAGTCTCTTCTTAAAAACTTCCAGTGTTGGAGCATTCACCGCTTCTGGAGGCAGGTTGTTCCACTGGTTAATTGTTCTAACTGTCAGGAAGTTTCTCCTTAGTTCTAGGTTGCTTCTCTCCTTGATTAGTTTCCATCCGTTGCTTCTTGTCATGCCTTCAGGAGCTTTGGAAAATAGCTTCAATCCCTCTTCTTTGTGGCAATCCCTGAGATATTGGAACACTGCTATCATGTCCCCCCTCATCCTTCTCTTCATTAAACTAGACATACCTAATTCCAGCAGCCGTTCCTTATATGTTTTAGCCTCCAGTCCCCTAATCATCTTTGTTGCTCTTCTCTGTACTCTTTCTAGAGTCTCAACATCTTTTTTACATCATGGTGACCAAAACTGGATGCAGTATTCCAAGTGTGGCCTTACCAAGGCATTGTAAAGTGGTATTAATACTTCACGTGATCTTGATTCTATCCCTCTGTTAATGCAGCCTAGCACTGTGTTGGGTTTTTTGGCAGCTGCAACACACTGCTGGCTCATATTTAAGTGATTGTCCACTAGGACTCTGAGGTCCCTCTCACAGTTACTACTATTGAGCAAGGTACCCCCTATACTGTACCTGTACATTTGGTTTTTCTTGTCTAAATGTAGAACCTTTTTCACCACTGAATTTCATTTTGTTAGATAGTGCCCAGTGTTCAAGTCTGTCCAGATCCTCCTGTATCTTAAGCCTGTCTTCTGGAGTGTTGGCTATTCCTGCCAGCTTGGTGTCATCTGCAAATATGATGAGTTCCCCATCTATCCCCTTGTCCAAATCGTTGATGAAGATGTTGAAGAGCACTGGGCCCAGAACAGAGCCCCGGGGCACCCCACTACACACTTCCCTCCATGTAGATGTGGTTCCATTGAGGACCACACACTGAGTACGGCCGGTCAGCCAGCTACGGATCCATCTGGTGGTGATGCTGTCTAACCCACATTTTTCTATCTTATCAAGTAGTAGGTTGTGATCTACTTTATCAAATGCCTTACTGAGGTCCAAGTAAATTATATCCACAGCATTCCTCTGATCCACTAATTTTGTCACTTGGTCAAAGAATGCAATAAGATTTGTCTGGCACGATCTGTTTTTGACAAACCCATATTGGCTTTTAGTAATGACTTTGTTTGCCTCTAGGTGTTCGCTGATTCGTTGTTTATCTTTTCCAGAATCTTCCCAGGTATTGAGGTCAGGCTGATAGGTCTGTAATTTCCTGGGTCCTTTTTTTTTTTCCTTTTTTGAAGATGGGAACTACATCAGCTCTTTTCCAGTCCTCCAGTAGTTCCCCAGTGCTCCAGGACCTTTGAAAAATATAGTTCAGTGGTTCTGAGATCACATCTGCCAGTTCCTTGAGAACCTTGGGGTGTAATCCATCTGGTCCTGGTGATTTGAACTCATCTAGGCTGGACCGTTTTCTTGCCTATCTTAACTTGTGTTTCTGTTCTGTTTTTTTATGGCACTATTTTTGGTAGGTTGGTCTGTTTTTTCCCTTTGTGTAAAGACAGATGCAAAAAACGAGTTAAATAGTTCTGCTTTCTCCCTGTGGCTTGTCACCTTCTTGCCACTTTCCCTAATGGACCAATCATTTCCTTCACTTTTTTCTTGTTTTTTACATGTTGAAAGAAGCTTGATGATATGAGTTTATTTTATTCCAATTATATTCTAATTTAGATAATTAAGGAATGAGTGTGATGATGATTTCTAAGAGTTTTAGTACCCAGAAGATCTTATAGAAATACTAATACTAATACATAAATCTAGTTCAAGCTGGGATTGGCAGGCGTGCCTCTTTCTCATTTCTGCCTGGAATAACAGAATCCCAATTCAGATCTGGAAACATGAATTGAGTTATACTACTGTCCTTCTTCATAATGTATGCTCATTTCTATCAAGCAAGATACAGAGATAAAAATAGAGACAGCATGTTCTAAATCATTTTAAAGGTATTAGCAATAATGGGGAACAGGGAATTCAGAGACTATGGTAGTAGGACAAGATATTGATTCTTGCATTATTCTGTTATTTTTCTAATGAAAAATCAAATTTGGCACTGCTGTTGATCCTGTGAGCAAGGCATGTAAGTATCATGCAATTGTTTACATATTTTATTAGTATTATGTGTTTTAATGATTTGGGGTTAATTTGAAAAATTGACAGGGAAGAAAAAGGTTAAATTCTTTTTCCTAATATCATTTTAATATATTATCCATTACTTATTGCTACATTTCTAGTATTTAAAAAAACAGGTTATTATATTCAGCTATCAGTCAGATCACTTCTGTTGTGGCAATAATCTAAACATTTGCCCATCTAACTCCACTCACCTCTACCTGAGATTGTTAATGGCAGATACCAGAGGCTTAATCCATAAAATTAATATACAATTCATTCATGGTACTAACAAGAGTTATTTCATATACAACAAGTGCTATTAACATTTGAAGATTACTCCTCATTCCCACCTCTAGTGAATTATTTATAGGACCCATGCTAGAATAATTTAAGATGTGTTTCTTTTCTAATTCAGAAGCAGTAGCATGTAAGAAAGGAAAAGAGAGAGAATACAATAAAGATAATTAATTTGAATAATAAAACTCATACATCCACCATAATGGATACATAACTAGGAAAATACCTGGCCCATAGTGCTATTATATTAAAATGTTCTGGGTTTTTCACACTGTCTTAGTACTTCTTTCAACTTGATGAGATGGATTATTTTTCATATATTGTCAAGGAAAAACACAGATTTAGTGGCTTCCTTAAGGCTATGTAGTGAATTCATAGTTGAAGGGAGATTTCAACTGAGCAATTTTTACTTTTCAAGCTCATGTTTTTGGCCATTCTACCCTAATAAATAGTGTTATAGGTTTTTTTTTAATCTTGGGAAATCTTGTTTCAGTTTAATATGGCTTACTTTATATTGATCTCACTGCCTTTGTAAAATAGAAATAGATAGATGGTTAAGTGAAGATGAATATGACTAGACAAAGCATGTGTTCACTAAATGAGTTAAATAAACAAAAATAGCTTTCCAGAAATGGTGGGTGAAATCAATAAATTTACCATTAATTTAGTTATAACTTGCAGATAGTGAATGTAACATATCTGCTTGCACATTTAAAAATCTTTACTATTATCAATGTAGCTTGTTGTTGTGTGATAGGGTTTCCTTTCTCAATCAGCATGGTTTGTAATATTAACTTAAGATCAGTCCAGTTTCTCTCTCTGGTACTCTCTCTGCAGCTGTGAGTAAAGGGTAATCCTTTGGATTAGTCTACAAATACAACTTTGCAAATCCAAGGAAAACCATGCAAAGTCTTTCTCACAAGCTAAGCAGGCTAAGCAAAGGTGAGTGACTTGTTGAAATCTCCTCCAATGTGTTGAAAATAGGTTGAGTACCTAATAACTGCTCTTGCTACACAGGCGTTTCTCAACTTTCCCACCTGTTATGCTGTTGCTTTTGCTTCTTTTACTTGGCTTTACAGCTCCTTTTATTAGGATTCCTCGCCCTTAGGTGGGTAATACAGACATTCTTTTTATTAAATAGATGTCCCAGCAAAAAAGTTCAGTTATATGTCTCCTGATTGAGAGAATACAAGATCCCTAAACAATAAGCTAAATAGAAAATATTCTCTAGATTCTCTCCCTCTCCCATTATGCAAAATCTGAAATATGGAAAAACTGCCAAACATCAAGTGAGTTGCACAAATAATCTTGCAACAGCATCACTTAAGTGATCATATAAATGACATTTTCTGGGTCAGCCGTGCTGTTGTCTTAATGGATTGCACTGTGGTCAGAGGACTGATGTGGTCTGAATCTAGAGGTTTTGGGAACAGATGTGCTAAATGGACATATCCATTCCATTCCCAATTCATCTTTATGTGCACTATAAATCTACCCCCTATCATTTAGAGACCAGACCTTTCTGTCTGCTATTGCAGTATAATACATCTCAAGATGAATGTGATTATTTCATTCCAAGATGTACAACTGTATTATATCCAGGGCTTTTTTTTGTCACAGAACGCCTAGAACAGAGTTCCGGCACCTTTTTTAGATGGAACCTTGTAGGGTAGGCAAGGCGGGTTGTATGACGTGTGTGAGTTCAGGCACCTTTTTTTTTTTTTTTTTACAAAAAAAGCACTGATTATATCCATATCGAAACACATACATGTGGCATTAAAACTTTCCAATAATTTTTCTGCATTGTATTTCAATAAAACTGATGGGCTTTTTTGTTGAAATTAATAGATGCTTGAGTATGTGCACTTATATTGTTTTCTTACATGAAGACGATTAGTTACAAAATGTGAGGAAACAAACGCATTACCTAACCTGGGTTTCAGGTTTTGAAGCTTGAAAACTTAAAACATTATCTTCTTATCAGTCTTAGTGGGAGGGGACGATAAAGAGGTTTTGTTTTTTATCTCCTGGCCAATTCTTTGTGGAATGAGCTGTACAGCCTACATTTCAAGATTAGACTTCTGTGTGAAAGCCTGTATGGGCAGCAAGGGCGTCTGAAGAATAGGAGTGGGAATCTCTATCAAGGATGCGGATCCTGTTATTCCACGAAAGCTCAAACCGCTGCTATACCCGAATATAAAAGCTTTCAGAGATGAATGCTCTCTTCCCTTACTCCTTTCATTTTAGTATATGAATATATAAAATGCAACGGTGTCTTACCATTTTGCGAGAGCAGGACTCCATGCCTGCATTATAAATTCCCCCCCCGGTCCCCGCCCGCCTCTTTTTATGACTGTCCAAGATCACAAGGTAGTTTTCCCTCAGGACCACCTGGAAGACTGGGAGGGCGAGTCCGAGGGGCTAAGTGCGTCTGAACCTGAGTCGCCCTCGCCCATTCCGCTTTTCCGCTGAAGGACCTGGCGCTGGCATCCGTTTCCCCTGCGTCCCCGGCTGCTCTCCGTCTCCCCGCCGCCAGATCCGCTGATTCAGGCTCTTTCCGCGTAAGCCAATCAATGGGCAGGAAGGGCCTGCAGCGAAGCTCCGTGGCTCAGCGCTGACGGTGCTGTACTGTTGGGAGTCAGGCGACGCGCATTGCAGTCTCCGCTCCTCCAGCCCACCCCAAGAACTGGGCTGGTCCCAGCGGCACGTTTCCGCGTGTGCCTCCGCTGCTCCACTTTCGAGAGAGAGCTGGCGGGCGGCCTGCTAAATTGCTAAGAGCAATTTTCACCCATTCCTCGCCACCGTTAAGTGGCGGCGATTGCCTCAGAAACTTGCAAGAATTGAAGCGGGTAGCGCAGGAGCTCAAAGAGAGGAAGAAAATAGTCTCTAGGGCAGATGTTGTGATTCAAAGCTCTAACGTGTTTTTTGGGTTAGGAGTTAGGCAGATTTTAAACCAGGAGGGAGTAATGGGATTCAATTGCTTTGTATGCCAGCCCTTGACCTAACTGGCAGTTGCCTGACCTACATGTGATAGCAAACCCTGAGGTTCCTTGAAAAATGCTGTCTATGTTCAGAGGCAGGATTAGCCTCATGGAAAAGTTTGACCTGGGAAGAGAGAAATTAACTCTAGTTCTGGGGGCAAGTAGTTGAAGGGTATATAGCAGTTTTTGGGATCAAATAAAATGGATACATTTGTGGCATTTTTTCAATTTTCTTCCACAATTTAAACTTCGATTCTTTTGAAATCTAGGTCATTTTCATCTCTTCCTGTGGACTGTTAGAATTAATGCTTTAAACCCACCTCTGCCGTTTATTTTATCGTTTCTAAACATATCTATTCCTATTCCTTTAAAAAAAAATTCCAATCTGGATGCTCAACTAACTCAGTTCTCATATGCCCAGAGTTGATACTTTAATTATGAAAAAGGAAGGGGAGGATTTTTTTTTTGTAGGGCATGATTTCCAGCAAGCTCCCCAGGCTGCTCTTTGATATATTCAATTACAGGAAATTTATTTTGTGTTTTGAAAATTTCTGTGATTCTTATATTTGAAAATAATAGAAAAGTGCATGTTTGCTTGATCAGTGTTTGGTCTGGAACAAAAGAGAGACAATTGCTTCTTTTTTCTCTCTAATTGGTGCTCCCCTGAGCTGGTTGTCCTTAGGTAGTACTAATGCAGCAGCTGCCCTTCCTGTTATTATGCTGGCACAGCATGAAGCCAGTTCTAACTATATCAGGCTCCAGCTAAGCTAAGAACACAAGGCTGCTTTGGAGGGGGTTCAGAACTTTCCAGCAACCCCTAAAATCCTATAATTTCTGCATAGCTCAATACTAGTGCACCAGCTGTGACAATACTAAGGACTGATTATCTTGGATCCCAGTCAGACATAAAATACTATGATAATCATTAAAAACTGTAATGTTGAGCAACATGTTGAATGGACAAAGCATGTAACTTTAACAAACAAAGGCAGCTGCTTAATCCATGAGATGTCAGACTTTCTGTAGCCTCCCTGCTCTGTGTAGAAACAAAGAATCTTAGCTCAGTAGCTGCAAAAACAAAGTAATTCTCCCAGAAAAATCCTATTATTTAAGTTTGAGAAGAGGTATTATACCACTCAGATAATTTTGCTGTTTTCTGCACAACAGGTTGTAGCAACACACTTAGATAGCAAATGCTATAGGCTGAAGTCATGTGTTGGGACACAATGAATGTACATTCTAGGTAATATTTCTGCCCATGCTTTGGAAAAAAAACTGGCAAAACAAATAGCCCTAGGATAGGCTCCAAGCATTCTGTAAGTCAAATGCAGTATTGAGTATAACCAGACAATAAAAAGGTCAGCTGAGGTTTTGGAAAAAATCAGCAGTCAGCAAATGTGACCTTTCATAATTTCGGTTGCTATTACTTATGGATAAAGTAGTGCTGTAAAAGGTTAAGTGATAATCAAAAGCAACAGGTGCGTGATTCTTCAAGCATAAATATGAAACTCATAAAGAAAATGTAAACTATTGGATTTTTATTTGTTGCTTATTTCTCGTGGAAGCCCTGTTCTGGGCACATGTTCCTATGAACCATCCAGTATGGGTAAGGCAGGGACAGGCTGAACTAGTATATTGTCAACTTTTTTCTAAAAGAAATGGTGTGCCTTGAATATCCTCTGGTTCAGTCATAATTTTATTTCCTAGATCAGTGGTGGCGAACCTATGGCACGCGTGCCAGAGGTGGCACTCAGAGCCCTCTCTGGGCACGTGTGCCGTTGCCCCAGCAACACCTTTCCCAGTGGCCCCCTCCTCACCAGCAGCCCCCCAGAGAGCTGCCCTTGGGCACGGCCCTTATGGAGCAGCTCAGCCCAGGACATGGCAGCTGGACAGCAGGGACAAGACTGCCCTCGCGTCCCATCGCACACAGATGATGCTGTGGGGTGTGGGTAGAGGGCGTGGCTGCCATGGTACTGCAGGGCCACCTGGGTGAACTGCTGCGGCAGGCCGTGGAGGCAGTAGGAGGCCATGCAAGCAGGTGGAGGACAGAGCAGGGGCGGACAGGCAGCTGAGCGGGGGTGGGTGGGTGGCGGGGCAAGCAGCAGAGCGGGGTAGGCAGGGGAGGAGGGCGGTTTTGGGGCACTCAGTGTCTAAAAGGTTTGCCATCACTATCTTAGATTAACCATACAGTTTTATTAGGGATAATAAAGAAATTGATGGTATTTTCCTTGTCTGGCATATTTTCAATCTCCCATTTAGTCTACATCTCTGAGAGACTGGAAGACTCCTATCTAAGTACTCAAACAATCCCAATGTGACTTAGCTTCTCAGTCCAGACAAGGTTGACCAGTGCTGCCACCTGCTTAGATCCATTTAACAATTATATGCAAGTAATGCAGCTTTTTTGTCCTTTCTGCCTATCCCAGAATTTATATTAGAAAAAGATGGTGTACATTCAGATATGTTAATATTAAGATGATAGTCCAGTAAGTAGCTGATCTACTTCTAAATCTGTAAACAACACCATTGAAATACATTTCAGGGAGGCATCTGGTCAGAACTTCAAAAAGTTAGATATGCCCTCTATTTAGAACCCTACCAAAGTAGCAAATTTTCACTGTCACAAAGGTGACATACAGGATCTTATGTAATACATAATAGTTTGGTGCAGGGGTTCTCAATCTTGGCAACTTTAAGACTTGTGGACTTCAACGCCCAGAATTCCTCAGCCAGCAAAGCTGGCTGAGGAATTCTAGGAGTTGAAGTCCACAAGTCGTAAAGTTGCCAAGGTTGAGAACCCCTGGTTTGGTGTAATGCAGTTAACACCATTTTTATTCCTAAGTATTTAAAAAAAATAGCTTAACTGATGCAAGTGCTTGTGCCTCCATGTCAGTTGTGAGTACAAAAAGCCTAAATACTGCATTACTTCCCAAATACTTCCCAAAAAGTAGAAGAGCATTAATGGTAGCTAATTCAATTATCCACCAATATTTGCCCAATCATACTCTTCCATAAGACTTATGAACATTTTCTGTTGATCTTAATCCTATCATATCTTAATTCTTTAATTTGTGTTTTAAATTTTATTCTGCTGTTGTTTTAGGTCTTATTATGACCCACATTGGAAGGATTTGTGCCTTAAAAGAAGAGATAAAAATGGCTATATTAAATATTTAATGCCACATGTGGTAGGAAAATAGTGCTGTCTGCAGCTGTCTGTTAAATAAATTAATCACTCAGGAGAAAAAAAAAGAAAAGCAGAACAGAATTTATCATAGGAAACTGCTTTTAGAGTGGTTGCATAGCTATACAAAGGTTATATTGACCTTCACTTCCAGAATGTGTTTAACAGGTATGATACTAGTATCTCTTGGTTAAGGCCACAGAGAATAAATAGAAATATATTTCCAATACACTTAGTGGACAGACATTTTCCAGCTCATACAGTTGCCTGGTATATGCTAAAATGACTGGATTTCTCTTACATGTTTTAAATAAATGAGTTTTTTAAAAAAATATTTCACACACATACAAATATGCTCTTTTCATTACATCTAGTTCCACAAAAATTCAAGTTCCTGTTTCCGTATCTATGAAACATGGAAAGAGAATGAACTCACAATAGGGACTTCTGGGGAAGAAATGGCAGATGGAGAACAGTTCAACAATAAGCGGAACTGATGACTGCAGTGGAATAAAGAGCTAGTGAATAGAACTTCTCCTCAATAAGTTATCTCCAGGCAAGGAGAGGACTTAAGATCACCACAAATACTCCAGGCAGTTGCTCCTCACAAGGAGACTGCAAGACAGCAATCTTTGCATAGTTAATGCTCTGGGAGATGAGGGAATAGCCATCTTTCCCAAACTGCAGTCAGCACCTTTGAAAGGACACTAAGTTCACACACTTTTTTTTTTCTAATCACTTTTTGAAATTGCTTCTTAACTACTTTTTAACTATCAGGAACCTTTGGATCAACAAGTCTGAAAATACCAAATGAGTTCCCTTCAATCCTTAGAGAAAGAAGCTTTAAATACAAGTTTAAGGGTATTTTTTAAGTAAAAAAACAGAACTTTGATTTTGGAAAGTTAAAAGCAGACTAAGATCCAGATGGATTTGAAATAAGATTTTGGAATTAATTAAAATATTTTTTAATTCTCTTAAAAATATGATAGGATGATACTTTGAAGATTGAACACTAGTAAAAACCAGAAGGAACTAAAGTTAGTTCAATTAAAGAACATTTAAATTTGACTTACTAATGAAGAATGGAGCAAAATATTTTAACATGAGACATATTAAAGAGTATTTCTGAACAATGGACCCAGAAGTTAATTTTAGGATTCTCTGTCTCTATAGATAAATTGTATTTAAAGATGTTATGAAAGGAGAACAAATTTTACCTGACAAAATTGAGATTGATTTGAAAATGGAGTTAAAAATGACAGGCTAAAATAATGAATGATATGGAAAAAGATGCTACACTGGACATATAAAAGAAACCAGCTGAAGTCTTGATTATTAAAAGGATATACAAATAACAGGCCAAGCAAGGATTGGGTTTACAAAAGAGACATTAAAGCTTTGAAGAATTTTGTAAAAAAATTTTCAATGAAAAAAATGAAAAGAATTCAAGTTCTCCAACATTATTTGAAGAGATTAAAGATCAAGATTGTTAAAAGAATATAAAAATGGTTTTATTTGATCAAGATTAAAATATATATTATTATTTCTGGTAAGCTTTAATGGACTGTTACAGATAATGACTGAAATAATGAGACCACAAGGATTTGTCTAGAGATGTTAGATGGGATATGAGGAGAAATCATTTGCTATAATTTAATATTTAAGTGATTAAAATTATTTACACTTGTGATAAACAGGGAGTCATTTCTTTATATATATTTTCTTTTATATAAATATAAAATATAGTTACATATATTTATGTATTTATATGTATAAATTAAAAGAAATATATAAAGAAATTACTTCCCATTCATTCATATATAGAGAGATGAATGATCAGGAAGTCATTTTTTATATGTGAACATATATAAGAACATACATATACACATAGGAGTTTATGAATTCTGTTTCTAACCTTATTGTGTAGTAGTGGACTCCCTGTTCTGATATTTATTCTCTCTAAAACAGAAATAGCAGTAATAGTGAGACAGATTCTTCTGATCTTCTAAATGTTGTCAAAAGAGGTTGAGGATGAATACAAATAATTTAGATCCGCTTCAAAATTCAGTACTGTAATTGTGAAGACAAATCATCTCCCAGTCCCCGTATAGATTCATCTGTTTCTCTCCCTCTCCCTCCCTCCCTTCCCCTGCTACCATTACCTGTTAATGCTTGGGTAAAGGGTGATGAGCTCCAGAAAAGCAAGATCTAATCAGTTTTTAAAGGGCTGTTTCACCTGGTGTTTTTTTTAACTGTACATCAAAATGATACAAAATGTGACTGTAAGGAACACATCATGTATCAGACAGTATTAGCTACACCACATTAACAAATATACACTGATGACAATTTTGAGTTTGTTGCTATATAATAATGTGCAATGACCTCAAGCTGTAATTATTCCGTAGGAATTTCTGCAGGAAACTAAGTGCAGCTGTTTCAGAATTTGTGGGTTGAAACAGGTAGTAATATTCCTTCGTAGTTGGATCCAGTGACTTTAGTTCACCAAGCTTGAATAGGCTGTTCTTATATAATACTTGTATTTGTACCTTGCATTTTGCATGTCAGTAAATCAAGAAGAAAATATGATATGGCCATGCCTTCCAATGAACAGTGCACAGTACTACAGATAAAAAAATCAATATGCAATTTGTCTATATTATTCTTTTTAATGGTTTTTATGGATAGAGAAAAAAGATCAAGCATGGAAAAACACAGGAGGATCAAAAGTGAGAAATAACATAACCAGGACCCCTAATAAAAGTCTGTAAAAGAATTGTGATGATAGCACAATGAAATATATATCTATAGACACATTCTAAGTCAGAAATTTGATTTTAAAATGGGTATTTTGGGTACTAGACTTCCACGTTAAATGGTATTTTTAGCATCCATTGATGTGTATGGAACTCAGAATAGAATACATTGGCACAAGAAGTGGGTGATAGTGGGAATTCTACATTTTTGGCCATGCCTAAAAATCCATTTCCTTAACCCTGCCTTACTCCTTTTGAATACATGATTTTAGCAACTATCATAGCAAACTGCATTGTCCTTGCTCTGGAGCAACATCTACCTGATGGAGACAAGACACCAATGTCAGAACGATTGGTGAGTATAATTCTCATCCTCTTAAACACTACCATAGAAAACAAAATGGAGAGCCAGTTTCAGGAATTTGGGGCCCAATACAACATACGATTTGATATCCCCATTCACAGCTCTAACGTAGCATTGTGGATGGATTTCTACAAAATAAACGATACAATTACATATTCAAAATTAAATACATGGAGAAATTGAATTTAAGATTAAAGGTGTGACCAGAACGTTTGAGGAATTTTATTAAGCTTATTGCGAAGGTTGGAAAAGAGAGATGCAGTGTTCTTTAAATATTTTTCTCTTGATCAGGATTTCTATTCCTGACATTGCCAGGTACGCCATAGGGTTGAGATAGGGATCCTGCTGGTGAATTGGCTACCTATTGTTTGCAGTAATCCATTCTGAATTCCTAGATCTAATCTTGGTATTGGATCTTTTTTGCTTGTTTGAGTTAGATGATTTCCACCTCCATAATTCAGGATTTGGGTTTGGAAGAAGTTGGGAGTTCATGGCTTCTGTAGTGATCATGCATTTGCTGTAGGTAATCTCAGGCCCAATTCACTGTGACAGTCGTGTGTTTTTCTTTGGAGTAGGTCAGTTCCCAGTAGATTTACAGGAAGGTGGGGAGTATATGGAGCCCTAAAGGAAGTGTTTTTTTTCTCATGAGCTTCATATTTAGAACAAATATCCTTGGAAATAAGGTTTGGTCCACGTCTTTTGATTATTCCAGAAGAAGGTCATGTGGAACACTTTCCAATAATTTTATTAAATAATTAGATAATGTACTAGAAATGCTATATGCCTCTATCTGGTATTTCATTATTTTTATTTTTACTCTTGAATGCATGTTTTGTACTTAGTGTGCATTGCTGTCTTTTACATACCACCAAGAGTTGTGTGATTGTGGTGGGAATAAAATAGAATGGAAGGGAGCGGAGTGGAACGGGACAGAATAGAACAGAACAGAACAGAACAGTATAGAACATATAAATGTTAGATGCACCCAGAAGTAATATCCGTGTACAAGAATGGCCCTGTTGGTCCCAATCTAGGGAGCTGGTTCAGCCTATGATTGGATCTGCCACTTGAAAACCCCATCAACCCAAAGCAGGCATGGATCACTCAGAGCACAGCAGTGGAGACAGGAAGCCTTAGTTTCTTCATTTTTGTGTTTTTATTCATCTACATAGCCTTCTTCATTTGGCATCTCTGCTTAGGAGTGCCCTAGTTTTCTGGGTCTGAACACAGCTGTGTACACTGCAGTCTCTTTTCATCAGCTCTGGCCCTATGTCAAGATCTTCCCCCTTTTCATAAGGTTCAGTAAAATTGCCCTGTCCTTTGATGAAACTATTTTTCTTCATGAACATCATCCATTATGTGGAACCAGAGCTGCCAACTGAAAATTTCTGGTACATGGTTAGGAATGGAGCCAAAACTGAAATGCAGCAGTTGCTTATTTTCCAACATCAAAGTATAGCACTGTCTAATGAAGTCTACACAAGAACTGTCTGTGAACTGAACGTGTACCAATTTTCAAGCAAAAGGTTTGAGGAGATTTTGCTCCACCTTCCAATCATTGTACTGATCTATTGGCAAGCATCTATAAGTAGTCCTCAACTTACAGCCGTTCGTTTAACAACGGTCTGAAATCACGATGGCTTCAGTGTGCTTTATAGCCTGTAAAGCGCTTTCCGCATGGCAAAATGTTGCAGCAACACCTCCTATAGTCACGTGATTGTGGTCTGAGGGCTTGGCAACCTGTTCACACTTATGATTGATTGCCAAATGCCCTGCCACCAATCATGACAGTTAGAACAATTAACCAGTGGAACAACCTGCCTCCAGAAGTGGTGAATGCTCCAACACTGGAAGTTTTTAAGAAGAGACTGGACAGCCATTTGTCCAAAATGGTATAGGGCAGTGGTTCTCAACCTGTGGGTCGGGACCCCATTTGGGGTCGAACGACCATTTCACGGGGGTCGCCAAGCAACGCAGTCCACCATTTTTCCCCCTTTTCCTTCGCGGTGCTACTCCCTTTTATTCTATTGGCTTTTGAAAGCCAATAGAATAGATTCTCTTGAATAGAGTCTAATTCTATTGGCTTTCCAAAGCCAATAGAAATTGTCCAGGCTGTCTCTGCCCTGCTGAGCCCGCCAAAAGTCCCATTCTGCAAACGGTGCTGCACAAGTTGAGTAGTCCTCGACTTACGACCGGTTGAGTAGTCCTCCGGTGGGGGTCGTGGCATTAAAAAGGTTGAGAACCACTGGTATAGGGTTTCCTGCCTGAGCAGGGGGTTGGACTAGATGACCTCCAAGGTCCCTTCCAACATTATTATTATTATTATTATTATTATTATTATTATTATTATTATTATTATTATTATTATTATTATTATTATTTGATTATTATTTGCGATCTTCTTTGCCAACCTCCAAAGAATGTCAGTGGGGAAATAGGCAAGGGAGGTTGCAAGCTGCTACACCTGCTAGAGAATTCTCTTTCGTCTCGGGGGGCTGCCTGAAGAAGGTGCCTGCTGAGGTGAGCTGAACTCCTTCTGAGGATGCAGAAACAGCCCAAATCCTGAAGATTCCAGCTTCATTCCTGCACCCTGCTGAAGGAGTAGTCTTCTGTGCATGGAGGAGGAAAGCTAAAATCCTTCAGCAGGCAACTTTTTTCAGCCAGCCCCTAAAGACGACAGGGAGCTGAAATCTAAGAAGGTAAGGAGTGTGGGGTGACTCAGGCAGGTGGAGGAGGCCTGAGCAGGCTGCATTTATGTGTCTCTGCCCAGGAGCTGAAGATCATGATTGGATTTCAGCAAGGAGAGTTTTCAACTCCTGAGCAGAGAGGCAGCATAGTAAGAAAAGGACCACTTGGTGCCTCAGGGAGAAAGAGGAGGAGGAGGAGGAGGAGGAGGAGGAGGAGGAGGAGGAGGAGGAGGAGGAGGAGGAGGAGGAGGAGGAGGAGGAGGAGGAGGAGGCATGGCACAAGCTACATACAAATGTTTCTCCACTTAGAGTCTGGAAATCTTCCTTGGATTCTGGCAGGATTTTCAGCTCCTAAGAGCAGCCTCCTGGGGTCTCCCCCACTCCTTTGGGACACCATGAATGGAGGGATTGTGGTGGTTTGGCAAAGCAGCCACATAAGCTTCTTGCTTAACAACTGCTTTGCTTTATGACTAAAATTCCAATCCCAATTGTGGTTGTAAGTCGAGGACTACTTGTAGTGAGTGAGGAAATACATATATGATCATGCAATATGATTATTTTTCTCCCAATGGTCTTTTAGTTCCCAGTATGGCAAATGGTGTCAATCTGTTAGAAATATAATTTGCAATAGAAGCCTACATTAATGTAATTGATTTTAAAAGATTTGCAAGACTGGTCTACCCATGTTTTCAAAGTCGGATAAAAATGTTTAGAATATTTTCATGCCCAGCTAGGTGTAACTGGAAGGTAAGATCCGAGTGAGCCATCCTCATTATGTGGTTTCCTTGGTAATTCTATGTCAGTCATATTACCAGTTTGGTCCCCAAATGAACTCTCTAGTGCCCTTTAGATATTTTGGACTCTTCAGCCCAGTTACAATAAGTAAACACGTGTCCACAGGCGTGTCCACAGGTTGTGGGGGGAACAATCAAGCTATATAACTATCAGATATATATACCTGTCTTTGGCTTAATGAAAATAATATGGGGTAGGAATTGCTCTTTGAAAAAAAATACAGAGTAAAATGTAATCACTAAATAATAATATTTCTACATAATCTTTTCTAGGATGACACTGAACCATACTTCATTGGAATATTTTGTTTTGAGGCTGGAATTAAAATTATTGCCTTAGGATTTGCTTTCCACAAGGGATCCTACCTAAGGAATGGGTGGAATGTGATGGATTTTGTGGTGGTTCTCACGGGGTGAGTAACTGATTTCTTAATTGCCATCAATTCTTAATATTTGCCTGCTAGTTCTCATTAATAATCATTGACCAATGACTAGACCAGGAAGAACATCTGAAAATCTTTGGCTCTGTTGCAGCAGAAGAGGAATAACTAGCCTGAAAAGTAGATTATTTGGCCTTAATCTTCCAACTTGAATTTATGTCATATATAAAACATAGAATGAAGATAATTTTTAATGTATCAGTGCTTATTATAGGCAGGTAACATGATTTCAGTAAGCTGATTCAGCTGCCTTTATTTACTACTAGCATCACCACACAAAAACTGAATGTATGATTTATATAAAATCACTTCATGTACCATCTTTAACTCGGTAAATTACAATTTAGTCTCAGTGTGCCTTACTATGTCTCGCTGCTTGTGTATCACACATTTGTAGACCAGTCAAAAATAGTTACATAATATGTTCTAGAAGTGGGAGATGCATATAGCCAACCAATAATAACCAGTTAACCAGTTATAACTGGTTTTATGTGGTATAAATAGTCTATGTATTCCTTTTTTGGATATTTGTACTGTTTTTCTGTCATACTGTAATAGATCTTTCCCTCCACTCAGCTCAATCATTTTGAAAATTTGTAGGACCAGTACAGAAAAAGTTATGTCTTTCTTATAACTGTTGTGAGGCTGTTTTCAAATTTCCTCTCTACTGTTAAAATCCTAGTTTAGTCTTCAATCTTATAAAAACAGGCAGAAAATTAACTGTATCCTTTGCTACATACCTAGACTGATGTTGATTTGCCTTTTTCACATGCCAACTTTTATATATATGATTTTTTTTTTACGCATTATGCTGTTTTTAACAATGTAGCTTTGAGAATGGTGCATGAACTTGGCATTCTGGATCTATATGTGTAACAGGTACATTGTGTATGTAATGCAGTGTCTTCTCACTTAAGTTTGCAGCAGGGCTTGTTCTGTGCTGCTTCACAGCCTGCTAGCAATTTCTAGAGAATAAAAAATCCTTTCCCCTGAAACAAAGACCCTAGTTTACTGAGCATTCTTGAGCTGAACACATACTCAGCAGAAATGAGCATATATGCTAAACCAGGGGTAGTCAACCTTGGCTGTTTTATGACTCGTGGACTTCAACTCCCAGGAATTCCAGGAGTTGAAGTCCACGAGTCATAAAAGAGCCAAGGTTGACTACCCCTGTGCTAAACAATTTGCAATTTATTGTTACTGTGTCCTGCTGCTGCTGCCTATTTCTTTGCATTATACTTTGTTATAGTAATAATATGTTTTATTTCTGGAGTTTCATCTGGTGGCGAGGAGGACGGTGTCTCAGGGTATGGTCAAAAAGCTCAAGAGGGTAGCCATGATGATACAACACACATTGAAGGTGACCTCCCTCTTGAGATTTTTTTTTACCATTCTCTCTGGATATTCCTGCTTAGTAGCTAGCTATATATAATTAGTGGTTTGACTGCAGGGATGGTCTAACTTAAAAAAATATATTCCTAGTTGGATAGGTTGCATTATATTACAAGAAAAAATTTTAAAAAATTCTTCTGAAACAAAAGAAACACTAACTTTGATCAAGGGAAATCAAGCCCAAAGGTCATTTCAAGTAAGAAAAGATGGAATATTTAGATTTAAGAAAACTATACATCATCAACTAAGTCCTTAAATTCTTGAGATTAAAAAAAATAAAATTAATAATGCCCTTTAACATAAATGCCTATATAACAAAGGTACATAATAATGTCATAAGTTCTAATTTTTGGAAGAGATACTCAGGCAAGATTCCTATTATATGGAATTCTCTTTCTGCTCTGAGTTTGTTTTCTTTCTCAGATGTTCTTTTATTCTTCTTCATAGTAGTTGCAGATTTGTAATTTACAACATACCAGAAAGCTCTTGGAAACAGTGTTTTTTTTTTTCAAATTGAAGAACATGTCATTAAGGAAATCTTGAGAGGACAGCTATTTACTCATTTTTTTCCAACATATTAATTTGTATATTCTTTTTTTTAAAAAAGACATGTTCTTGGGCTCTAGAATTACATTTTGAATAATATTTGGGATGTTGTTGTAACTTGGACCATGATGGTTTAGGAAGGTACAATATATGGTCTTTACTGGTTGAAAATTACAGACTGAGATGGTAGATTTCCATAAAGAAGTTATGACTATGGCACTTCTGTACAACAGAGATATGTAATATTTTGTGTCTTATGCATTAAAGATTAGAATCAGACCTTCAAGGGCAGAATGTTTATATTAGTGATATATAATTGGTATCAGTTTTTTGGAATCTTCACTTATATGAAACTATTTATCTTTTGATTTGTTTGTTTATATATCCTAAAGAATAAAATAGACAAATAAATAAATACATATAGAGACCATGAATCTCCTTCATCTATCTTCTTGATTAGCATCAAGAAACAGAAAACTATAGTGTTCAGCATTTTACCACAATGCCTTAATAAGATATTAGTTAGTGAGGTATTTTAAGATTACAGCTAAACACGGCAGGGGTTGAGCCCTACGTCTTAATACTTTGTGTTTTGTTTTGCTAAAAAATTATTCCAGATGTATGTGTGCTTTTAAGGATCAAAATGCAGCAGTCCTCTGAACTTTTCCCCTTAAATAAACTTCATCCTTATTAGGATGTATATATTAATGCCTTATTGCAATGTTCTAGAAGTGAGCTTTGTTTCTTTTTGACTTTAGACATGGTCTATGTGTTCAAGAACTCGTGAACTAAACCAGTTCAAATGCAAGTTAGGATGATCGTGTTTTTCAGTATTACTTGATCACCACCATTGCCATCTACTTAAAATGCCACTGCCTGCTGCATTCTTCACAGGATGCAGCTTCTTAGTATGCCAGGCCATATTTGCTTCTTGATTAGGGAGTCTTCCCTGTATTATTACTTAAAAGAGCTTTCTAGTTTCCAGACGTGTCCTGAATGCCAGGCAGCCTTTCTACACAGCCTGAATGGTGAAAAGAGAAAGAGGTTTCCTCTTAGTTATGCTGAGAAGTAGCTGGACAAGCATACTAGCAGACCTTGGCTTTGATGACAAATTGTAATAACTGGGTCCTGGAAAAACAATTTATTCTTCACTAGATATCATTAATATGTCAAAATACAATAGTAAATTTAATGCAAAAAAATTAAGTCTTCCTTGCCCCTCTCAAAATTAATTCTTTTAGTTCAATCTTTATATAACCCAGCAGTTACTCCTACAAATGCCAATGTATGTAAATTATATGCTTTCTTTACTCCAATTTGATTTAACTGTATTAGTATTTAAAAAAACTGTCCTTTCTTATTTATTTATTTAATTTTATTTATATGCCGCCCAATCCCAAAGGACTCAGGGCGGCGTACAATTTTCTTGTTTGCGACATAACTTTATTGTGGCATAAATGCTCATAGACCTGGAAAATAAATTTGATTCAGGATAAGAATCAGAAACTCAATATTTAAAAGAAATTCAGAAAATTCTAGGACCTTTTAGTTACAATTTCAACTGAATTCTTATTCATTACTGCATTCATTATACCAGCCTGCCCTCGGTACTGTTAAACACATACCAAATCATAGCAGTCATCTAAATCCAGAGATCTTATAGTTCTTATTAAATAACTGTAAGGCATCAACTACTTCTGTGGGAACCTGTTGTTCTGTGAAGATCTTCCTTCCAGATTAGGTCAAAGCCGGTCACACATGCATCAATATTTCATGCCCTCAGTGCAATTTATAAATTAACCTTTTAAGAGAAATCATGTCCCTGAACTCAGAAAATATAAAGCTGAAGATACCAATTAAAAATAAATAACTGTTTATTTTATTCGCTGTTCTGAAGCCTGCAGCGTTCTGCCATTCAAGGTCAGAATTACAAGAGAGAAAGGATAAGATAGTTCTGTGCTGCACTGGTCAGACCCTATTTGCAATCCTTTGTTCGGGTTTGGTTACCACAATACAACAGGGATGTTGAAAGGTGCAGAAAAGGGCAACAAAGATGGTGAGAGGTATGAAGACTAAATTCTATGAAAAAGAGTTAAAGAAACAGGAAATTTTTAGCCTAAAGAAAGGTCTATTCCAACTTGTGATTGCAGACAACCAAGATAATTACACAAGTTTCCAACATATTTTGAGTTCTTTTTATCAACAGATTTTATTTCTGTTTCAAACTGGTTAAGATAGCTTCTCTTCTATTGAATTAAGAGTATGGAACAGTTGCTTTTACATCTGTCTTTCTAGATTTTTCTGCCTGTCTTTCATCCACTCTATTTTATGAAATACCTCAGAATAAAGTAGGGAATCTTTTTACTGAGGAAAGCATTGCCATGTAGAGAAATCTACCAACAGTCATAGTATGGGCAGATCCATTAACTTTCTTCCCTCTTTCCCCACTTCCTTCTTGTCCCCATTTATCCCCCCCCCCAGTATTAATATTGTGTAGGAAAGGAAAAATAATTCTTCCAAGAAGTCTGAAGATTAAATGTAACTCTATAGCTGCAGATCTGTCTACTCTGCTGCACATTGTAGATTTTCAACTAATAGTTCATGACCCAAAATTGAATCACTTGCCAAGTGTAAATGTTACAATACATTTGTATTGTATTCTAGCAACCTCTGATTAGAAAAAGTAGAGCAGAAAGCAAAAGGAGAAAGGCAGACACCGAGATTAAAACAGTGGAGGAAAAATGCTAATTGTTAGGTTGAAAATTATAGAGGTTACTACAGGTCTGGATTAAATATGAGTCTGAAGGTCATGCCCTAGATGTTTACCTATCTGCTGCTCAGGATATTCATAGAATATTGAAGTAAAATACTATAAATTCTTAAACATTAAACTCAGTGATTTTTACAACCATTATAATATATTTAGGTGACAGCCCTGCATACAGATCATGTTTCTGAATTTAAGCCAGCAGATCAGGTTTCTACTTGACAAGCTGTTTGAATCTATTCTAGCTCAATGAATAGAAGACATACAG